GTGGGACGCCTGGGTCCTCTACCTGGCTGGGGCAGGGGGTGAGGACCACAGCGTTTGGGTGGTGGGATCTCCTGGCTTGCCTCGTTGGGCTGCCTCGTTGACCGGGGAGGGGTCCACCCTGCCTGACGGCATCTCTCCCCACCCCAGGACAACTTCGGCTACGACCTGCCGGCGGTGGAGGCCGCCATGAAGAAGCACGAGGCCATTGAGGCCGACATCTCCTCCTACCAAGAGCGCATCCAGGTGGTGGTGGAGCTGGCCCTGGAGATGGAGTCCGAGGGCTACTACGACACCAAGCGCATCAGCGCCCAGAAGGACAACATCCTTCGGCAGTGGGGGCTCTTGACCGAGCTGGTCCGCGCCCGCCGCGCTCGCCTCGAGCAGAACCTGGCCCTGCAGAAGATCTTCCAGGAGATGGTCTACATGATTGACTGGATGGAGGAGATGCAGGTAGAGCCGGGGACACGGCAGGTACCGGGCATCCCCAGGGAGGATACGGCAGGCAGCTCTGGACCCCGTGGTCTCCTTCCCCTTCCCCAGGTGCTGTTGGTCTCCAAGGATTTGGGGAAGCATCTTCTGGAGGTTGAGGACCTGCTGCAGAAGCACGGGCTGCTGGAGGCTGACATCTCCGCCCAGACTGAGCGGGTGCAGGCGCTCAACGCCGCCGCGCTCAAGTTCTCAGAGCTGGAGGGTAACGTGGGGCGCCGGGAGGGGCACCGCGAGGACCGGGAGATGCTTGGCCTTGGGAGGGGTCGGCCAAGGTCTTCAGGGTGCTGTAGACCATCTCCGCTAAGATCTGGTTCTCTTGGTCCAGGCTACCAACCCTGCGACCCCCAGATCATCTGCAACCGGGTCAACCACGTCCAGACGTGCCTGGAGGAGCTGGGGGAGCTGTGGCGGGCAAGAGGCGCAAGGAGCTGGAGGACTCCCGCCAGCTCTGGGCCTTCTTCCAGGAGATGGAGGAGGCTGAGGCGTGGATCCGCGAGAAGGAGCAGATCCTGGCCGCCAAGACCTGCGGCCGGGACCTGAGCAGCGTCTTGACGCTGACCAACAAGCACAAGAGCATGTTGGGCGAGCTGGGCAGCCGACGGGCGCTGTTGCACCAGACCATGAAGAGGGGCGAGCAGATCTTGGCCAAGAAACGCTTCAGCCCCGGCGGGATCCAGGAGAAGATGCGGGAGGTTCGCCTCCGCTGGAAGAAGCTGGAGGAGGTGACGGGGTTGCACCAACAGCGCTTGCAGGAGGCCCTCAACTTCTTCCAGTTCAGCGCCGAGACGGACGATTTGGTGGCCTGGCTGCAGGACACCTACCGCATCGTCTCCAGCGATGACTTTGGCCATGACGACTATTCCACCCAAGCTCTTCTGCGGAAGCACCGGGCGGTGGTGGAAGAGGTGGAGAAGCACCGGGCGGCCGTGTTGGCCCTCCGGAAGCAGTTGGCTCTTCTGGCGCCCGAGCATCGTCAAGGGGTTGACGTGCAGATCCGGGTGGTGGAGGTGGAGCAGCTCTACGGGGAGGTGGCCGAGGTGGCCGTGCTGCGGCAGCAGTGGTTGCAGGACGCGTTGGCCGTCTACCGTATGTTCAGCGAGGTCCACGCCTGCGAGGTCTGGGTGGACGAGAAGGAGCAGTGGTTGGAGAGGATGGAGGTGCCGGAGGAGCTGGATGAGGTTGAGGTGGTCCAGCATAGGTGTGTTGGGGGGGGGGGTTGGCAACGGGCCCGGCCGCCTGGGTCCCCTGCCCCATCGTGGACCCCGCCGCTCGCATCTCCTCCCCAGGTTTGAGAGCCTGGACCAGGAGATGAACAGCGTCATGGGACGGATCTTGGACGTCAACCAGGTGGTGCAGCAGTTGGTGGATGGGGGCCACCCCAGCTCAGAGGAGGTCCGCTCCTGCCAGGACCACCTCAACAGCAGGTATGGGCATGGGGAGGGGTCCGAGCTGTGGGGCCAAGCCCATCCTGGGGGTCAGCGATGCCCAAGGTGGACCTCATCCTGCTTGGGGGGGCTCCTTGGTGAGGGGAACCAGCCACGGGGCTGCTGGCAGACCCCAATCCTGTGGTTCTTGCAGCCTGGTGGGATGTCCCCATGAGGTCCAGCTCTTTGGTGCAACGGGCCAAGCCCATCCCAAGGGTTGGTGCTGCCCATGGTGGACCTCATCCTGCTTGGGGGCTCCTTGGTGAGGGGAACCAGCCACGGGGCTGCTGGCAGACCCCAATCCTGTGGTTCTTGCAGCCTGGTGGGATGTCCCCATGAGGTCCAGCTCTTTGGTGCAACGGGCCAAGCCCATCCCAAGGGTTGGTGCTGCCCATGGTGGACCTCATCCTGCTTGGGGGCTCCTTGGTGAGGGGAACCAGCCACGGGGCTGCTGGCAGACCCCAATCCTGTGGTTCTTGCAGCCTGGTGGGATGTCCCCATGAGGTCCAGCTCTTTGGTGCAACGGGCCAAGCCCATCCCAAGGGTTGGTGATGCCCAAGCTGGACCTCATCCTGCTTGGGGACCCCTTGATGAAGGGAACCGGCTGCGGGGCTGCTTGTAGACTCCAGCCCGTGGTTCTTGCAGCCTGGTGGGACATCCCCACGGCGTCCAGGTTTTCAGTGCAATGGTCCAAGCCCGCCCCAAGCGTTGGCAACGCCCAAGGGGAACCTCATGCCAGGGCTCCATCCTGGTCTTGTCCCAATTCCGTCCCCATCCTCAGGTGGAACCGGGTGGTGGAGCTGGTGGAGCACAAGAAGGGCCAACTGAGCTCCGTCCTGAAGATCCAGAACTACCTGCTGGAGTGCAGCGAGATGAAGGTGCAGGTGCGGGAGAAGAGAAAAGCCATTGAAGCCACGCAGTCGGGCGGCGGCGACCTGGGCGGCGTGTTGGCCTTGCAACGCCGCCTCTCCACCATGGAGGCGGCTCTGGTGGTCTTGGAACCTCGGTTGGTGGAGCTTCAACGGGAAGGCGAAGCCTTGGCTGCCTCCCACCCCGGGAGAGCCCTGGAGATCCTGCTGCCCTTCGAGCAGATCAGCGAGGAGTGGGAGGCCCTGAAGCGGGCGCTGCAAGGTTGCGAGGACTCCTTGACCGTCGCCGGTCGCTTGCAACAGTTCATCCAAGACTTGGACAACTTCCTCGGTTGGTTAGTCAAGACTCAAGCGGCCGTCGCCTCCGAGGAGGTGCCGGATAGTTTGACCGAAGCGGAGAGGTTGTTGAACCAGCACGCGGCCCTCAAGGAGGAGATCAATGGCTACGAGGAGGACTATGCCAAGATCCAGGCGGCCAGCGACCTGTTGGCCTTGGAGGAGACCGAGGTCCCCTACCTCTCGTTGCAGCAATGGTTGCAGAAGCTGGACGCGGGCTGGGGCAAGTTGCTGCAGAGCTGGGAGACACGGCGAGAGGTGCTGGTGCAATCGCACGTCTTCCACCTCTTCCTCCCAGCAGGGCGAGACCAGCCTCTACAACCAGGTAGAGACGGGCGGGAGAAGGTCCCGCTCGACCTTACGGTTGAGTTGGGGAGGATGGAGCGAGGAGAAGTGACCAGGGATGGAGAGCCCGCCACCGGCATCTCCTCCGTCCCTTCTCCAGGAGTCCACCCTGGTCCACGCCGAGCTCCCCGGCACGGTGGAAGGGGTGAACAACGCCATCAAGAAGCACAAGGACTTCACCACCACCATGGACCTC